TAACTTGCTGGTCCATAGGCTGGAGTTACGGTGTGGTGTTGGGAGGCAGAAACTGGATGAACATAAATTCTTCAGATAGATCATCTTGTAGGCCTGGGGAATTCATGTACATGTATCACAATATAACACAAGTTTGAGAAAATCTGTGATCACAAGCGACTCTACGATGCTACTGGAACAAGTGCTAAACACTGATGTAACATGCGCACAATTGGGGACTTTCCCTCTCCTCGCCACTCGTTATGCGAAACGTCGCTCGTTAAGCGAGTCACTCTTTTACAGTTTGTTTTGCTCGTTATGCGAATTACTCGATATGCGAGGAGCTCGTTAAGCGAGGTTCTACTGTATTCTATTTTACTTATTCCAATATTCCAAAGTTTAAACAAACACACAAATGTATGATGAAACAATGAGTATTAAAGCATATTTCTGAAATTATATAAATTTTTTTTTAAAAATGTCCACTGATTAAGCGTTGTCACCCTGGACATAAACGTTCACGAGGAAACTGGCGGGGTACTCAATGACTCACTAGGACTGTACCGAATATTCGCTTCGTATTCGCTTCGGGGCCGAATAGTGGACCCAATAACTATTAGGTATTCGGCCGAATAGTTGCGGTCGGGCCGAATACGAATAGTGGTTACCTCACAACCGTTTCTGGACTGGTGGAAAAACAACATCAAGACTTCCCACCTTGGTTTATAATGTGAAGCGTTATCTCTGTGCACCACAATGATGATGATAGTGTTGTCGGCTTGATTTCTTTGAGTGGAGTGTCCTCTTCGTTGATTCTTTGAAGTAACGGGAGTTCGTCATCATTTATGGGTGTCATATCTGTTCTTTCGTCGTCTCGTGGAAACGGCAACGGCTGAATGTTTTGATCGACGTTCGGTTTCTTGATTGTCTTTGTTGTTTGATTTTCTGGCGTTGGCCACCCGGCGTCTGGTTTCGTGAGCTCGCGGGGGGCTGGGCGACTTGTAAGGACGGCATTGTTTTCATCGTCGGCGTTATTTTTGTTTTTGATGTTTCGCCTTGCGGGTTTCCATTTTGACTCTCTGTATTTGTCGTATTTTCCTGTTTAGTACAGCTGGAAATACCTTCAATGAGACAAAAAGCTGGCCTAATGCTGACAACATGAAACGAAGGTTTTTCATGGAGGTGTGTCAGCACACGAACTAATACGTGCTGCAGGAGATCGCAGATTGTGGCGAGGCATAATCGCCCATGCCAGATGGCAAAGCACATGATGATGATGATTCACTATTCGTATTCGTATTCGGCCGAATAGTTGGTCCAGCTATTCGTATTCGGCCGAATAGTGAAAATCACTATTCGGTACAGCCCTAGTCTCTACCCAGCGTACTGTGATGATAGCCACGTTCTGCAAAAGACCGGTGACGCATGCTGTCGGGGGATGTACCGCACACTTGTCAAGAGTCCAGGGGATATACTGATAAATGTCTCAGGGGCTTAGCGGTCTCGAGGAATGGCATTCGCCTCGAGTGCTGGAGATCCCGGGTTCAAAACCCAGTGAAGGCTGAGATTATTTCATGTGGACTTCTAGTAATTTTCTCTGGTCTCTGGGTAGTAAGACCGGACGCCCGTGTGTATTGTGCCGACAGTTGGAAATCGAAAAAGAGTAGCCTAACGGCGCAGCCCGGTCAAAATTTTGAGTTTAAAATCTACCCAAAGTATTTCCGGATCCGCACTGGTGCAACGAAGTTCGCGCGCTGCGCGGAGATTCAGACTCATGTTTAAGATAGAAGTAGAACTGAGCACTTACGGGTTACACCTTGTGCAATGATGTTGATCCATTTAAAAACACATAAACATAAAGTATGCCCTCTGTCCACAAACTATGGCGTCCCTTTCATTGGGAGGACACGTGCTCATGTGGACTATCACAGGAGTAAAGAGGTACCAACCCAAACATGGTAGTACAGTACGCAAGGCACTAATTGTAAGTTAACAACCACAATATATCAGGTGCAGGTAACATGGCCTATCTTAACCACTAACACTACCTAAGAACGCTGTAATACGATACACTACTCCAAGTATGATCTTTTAGTGCGATCGGTCTCTCTATTATGGACGAACACACTGCGATAACGAGGAACTGGTGATCAATGACTCACTGTTAAGGCTACTGCTGCCTGCCAGATGCACTTGAATCAGCAGTCTTCAGAACATGTACAAAACACCCTGTGAACTATGTACAGGTGCCTGCTAGGGGCGACCTACCGCCCGATTGAGCAGATACACCTACTACATGTGCAGTGACCGTCCTCTGACGGTTTCCTATCCAAGACTCGCCGTCATCCGATGGCCCAGGGTAGATGCACCACAAATGAAAAGAACTTTTTATAATCGCCGTAGAAAATGGACACTGTGCCCATTACGATTGAATCACCAGGATCACCAGCACAGGGGGCCGCTCCCCCGGGAGCCGACCCTTCAGGGGTGCCTGATGCCGCCTCAGTAGCGACGCAAGGACCCCCTCGCCAACGCAAACAGCGGCAGCCTGAGACCAGCACACCAGACATCATGCAGTGCTCGCGCTGCAATAGGGCATGGCATACAGCTTCGTCCTGTCGCAGCAGTCTCTCGTGCAGATACTGTTCTGGTGCGCACGAATTCAAGGAGTGCCCGCTGGCTAAAATTGAAACTAATTTTTAAAAACCGAACAGCAACCGTAAGTGCTCCAACTGTTCTGGTGCGCACGGCGCGAGATACATGGGCTGCCCGTATCTCCAGCAGTGCAAGAGGACACTCAGAACCGCCCAAGAAGCAGCTAGACAGAGATACGTGGCACCCAGGTCCTCAGCAGCACCAAAGCAACCAAGTGGGAAGCCAGCACAACGGACAACAGACAGACTAACCGACAAGACGATCACAGCCACAAAGGACCCTGAAATCTCGCTACAAATTTCTGAAATTTTAGCTGATATCAGAGCTCTCCGCAAAGAAAAGTCCGACGCTGACAGAACGCAGTTGCTAGACCTGATTTCGCAGATGCGTGACGAAATCAAAGCATTGAAAGACGACAGACAAGAACAAGTATCGCAGCAAACAAAGTGGCTAGCAGAGGCTGCACGAATGCAAGAAAACCTGACAGAAATGACACTAAAATTACAAGCAGAAAAAGCTGCAGACGAGACCCACCGACAGGAAGAAAGGGAGGAGAGAAGAAAGGAAACCGAAGCACTTAGGGAAGCCCGCGAGAGCACTTATAAAGAAGTCACCCTTATGATCCAGGCAAAAGCAGAAGCCGAAGCTGCAGTGCTGGCTTCAAGAACAGAGCGCGCCCTGCTAGAGAAAGAAAGAGAGGCTTACAGGAAAACTGTAAAGCAAAAGACTGTCAACAAAGCCGACAAAAGCACAGTTACCGAAACGGTAGTGATGCAGCACCAGGCACAGATGACTGATGCCACGACAATCGAAGAACGAAGCGAAACACCCACCAGGCAGCCAGCCACCCCACGCGTAAACCAGAATGCGACAGCCGTTGTAACTTTTGAGGCTGACCTCCAAGCGATGCTAGAAGATATCAACGAGCAGGTGGCTCCGCACAGGCTGGAGTTTGTCGGCCCATTCGACAAATACGTTATCAACTACGCAGAAGAAGACGGAACACCTGAACGAATCTTAAGGTACAAGAATGTTGACCGACTCTGCAAAGAGATTAACGCAGCAGTGAGACAGCTCCGGGAGTCAAAGAGAAAGCAGGGCAAAAATGGCACACCGAATAGAAGAGGCAACCGCCAAATCTAAAGAGCCACAGAGAGAGCCCGCCAAACAAGCCGCCATCTTTACGGACAGCCCAAAACAAACAACCGCCAACCGGACAGCGGATCGACGTACCGGAGCCACTCCCACCCGCTCCGCCCCACTGGCAAATAACCACGTAATCACCATTGAACTAACCAAAATCTTAATCTAGTTTATTTTCAGGAAAAAAAGAAGACAACGGAAAATACCACAGGCCGCCCGACGCCCCGACGCAGACAGCCGAGGGCATTGCACCTAGGGGGACCAGCACTTGGGAATTCCAGTCACCGTCATGCCACCCCACCCCACGTGTATGTTAACAATTGCCTTTCACTTTTATTTCAGACCAAGTGACCTCAGCCGACCAGGATGGATCCTGCCTCTATCTGTCACTCTCATTCTCCCGACCTCACTATCACATCTACTGGCACATTCGGGCAAACTGACCTCTCATTTGCAGTCTATATTACCTCCACTACTTCTCCACACTCCGTGGGAAAAAAAAATTTTTTTTTTTTTTTTTGGTCCGATCACAACAACAGATTGTGACGGCCCTGGTTGTCCTGAAAAGGAACATTGTTCATCGACGGCGCAACGGATGTTTGTTTGGCTTTTTCCTGCGGCTTTTAGATCGGCAACCAAGCAGCAACAGGGCACCAGCACAGCGACCAGCACGAGGCAAGCCAAGCACCAGCAACAATCAGCTAGTACCCGTCAATATCACCGCAAAGAGATCTGGAACACACCAGAACCCAAAACCGCAAACAACGCAGCACAGCAAGGCAGCAAACAACAATAATATCAGGCGTGTCTACACACCACAAATAAAAGGAAACCATATAAGACAGCAAAGGACCCTTCTTCGATATAGCAGGCCCTCGGGCGGCGGAAAGAGGATCAAGTTTGGAATTTTTCTTGGACAACTGGCAATGGCATTGGGAATCCAGACCACCAGTCTGCTACCCAGTCACTCAGTGAAGTATCAGTGATCAGCTTTTAGTTTACGAGCATTCCCGATATATCCCCATCATAACTCCACATTGGCAAATACACACAGTCACCACAGTAACTTCTGTAACATTTACAGACACCCCGTCAACCAGCCTACCACATAGCCGCAACTTTGCCGACCACACAACAAACATGGGCCGAACAAGTGAATTCAAGAAAATCACTCTGACAGCGTTCCGATGTACAGCGTATGATCGACCATACCCACAGCAAGGCTTGCGAGCTCCAGCAGAATAAAATATATTGTTAAAATGTCGCTCAAACCCGGGGTTCACAACCTTCCCGTGCTGTCGGCCCACACGGATCCCACAATATACGTCATGGACCGTGATAACATGTCCGCAGGTCCGTCATAAACTTCAAGCGACTCATGTTTCTCCAGTTACAGGTGGCTCATGCTCCATTGTCTCCCAGGGCTCCAAATCTTTACACTCACAAAGCATCAACACAACATGAATGCCCGTGTGTACCTATGCTTCACAAAGCCCTGGCTTCATTAACTCTTTACTCTTTACACACTACAGTGACTTTTGCATAAAACAACCGATTACGTGATATAATGAAAAGAAAATAGGGAAAAGTAACTAGTTAAATTTCTTAAGACCTAGGAGACGTGATTTTGCAGAACAATCATTAGAATTGGGCAGCCGACGTGGTCTACCGGCTAGAAGCTCACCTGCTGATCGGAAGCTTGTGGGTTCGTGTCCTATAAGCGTACGGACTTTTTTCAAAAATGCCCTTGGCTACCAGGTCCACCCTACCTTGGATGAGTACCAGGTACAGTCCTGGGAAGTAAAGGCGACCGGTGTGATGCTGACCACATCAACCACCAAGTGCCGTTTTGCCTATAAAATATAGGTATAGCCCTATATACCCAATACGCCTGCAGGCGTGGAAAAGGTAGAATTCCTTGGACAGCAAAAAAGAGAGCAATCCAGATGTTTTGAAAGAGATGAAAAGCTCACAGACAGCTTGTCAAAAACACCAGAAAGAGACAGTCGTCATTTTTTGGTTATCTTATGAGAAGTGGGAAGCTGGAATGTGTTGTGGCCACTGGAAAGATCTGACTAAAAAGAGACACAAAAGAAAATAAACGAGATAATTGTAACATCCTTTAGTTGTGGCATTGAGTGGTGTCAACACACGCATTGATACATGTTGTAGAAGGTAACAGATTATGGAGAGATAAGATCGTCCACTCCACGCCAGTCTGTAAAGGCACTTGAGGATGATGAACCAGCTGAATGAATACTCAGATAGTTATTAGAATGTGACCTTGCCTAAAATTTCTACCATGTAACAATCTCTTCTTCTTGTCCGTTTCACGGATTGTGTAGTTTCGTTCACAAGTGCAGTTTTAACTAAAGCTACGGCTTTCGTACTTTTGAGCGACGCTTTCAGTAGGCATCTAGATGTTATGGAGAGAGAGACGGGGCTATATAGGATAAAACCCCGAGCACTGAAGTTGATTATTTTGACTTTAAATATTTAAACCTTTAAACTTAGAACTTTTACCCAGATAATGGGGTCATATGGAAAAAAAAAAAGTCGGACACAGAACCATTTGTGAATTAGTTACAATGGCAGTAGGTTAAATCGTTGATTAGTTCGACGTTAGGCTCCCCAAATAGAGTAGGTCACTTTTCATTGTTAAGCTGGTCGACTTTCCTGAAGGTTACGGGTGTGTCCTGCTCTGTCGTTTGGTTTTTGCGCTGTCTTGCATTTACGTTTTCATTCCAAGAAAGACAATGCCTGTGACAGAGGTTGCAGCACTCTCTAGGGGAGTTGTGTTAGACCTAGCTTCTCCATGTTTTTGGAGTGTTCAAAGCGCTTGGCGTGCTGAAATATACAACACGTGGTATCAACGGCATTGCGGAACATCCAGTAATCAAGTGCAAAGGTCACCGGGCTCAGGAACTACAAATCAGAAGTGGGCTTGTGTGTGTATGGGACTGGTCTGGAGAGACTAACGTCGAACTAACCAAATCATTTGCCCACTGAGATAGAGAGAATGCCTTGTGAAGCCTTACCAAACACGGATACACACATACACACACGGAGAAGAGCGCAGAGCACAAGGTAGACCAAAAACAATATGGAAAGATAACATCAGCGAAACTATACAAAAGCACATTTTGTACATGGTGGAGGTGGCCAGTAGAGCAAGAAGCCGAACCTTAAATCTCCTCGAGTCCCGATGCGATAAAAGTGGAAGTGAAGAAGAACAACAAATCAGACATCTAAGTCTGGCATATTACCGTCATAAATGTTGATGTAATCACCCTGACAGACTGTGTCATGGCTGGATTGATTTCTGTGTGCGGTTGTTTCCCAGGTCAAGGTCAGGTGCACCGTGTCCTCTCGGTTCTCTCCCGAGATCAGATACTTGCAAGTGTCAAGGCTGTAATGAGATATTTTTAGATCAGCCAAATATTATTTTACATTCCTTCATGTTTCTTAGTTTTTTAACATAGGACTATTTGTTCCAAGTAGCTAAATGTACGTTCATTGGTAGCTTAGCATCCAAATTTCTCAATATTTACAATTATAGATAATGTTTTACGGTGACCACGATGCGAATTCAAGCATGTTGTATGGTAAATCGATAGTACACATTTCAGTAAGGTGTAAAATGATTGTGGTACAACTCACGAACTCAGGTCCAGAGAGAGAGAGAGTGACTTCCCTTGTCATTTATCCCTGGTCTTGTCGTAGGGCCTGTCATATTTTGCGGGGGTGTCATTCTTAGTGCGCGTCCAGCAACACAAAGTTTTAAGCGGTGTTGTCACTGGCCGGCGATATCGTGTGGCCTATATTCCACGATGTGAGTGCTTGTAACTGTCGAAAAACATGTAGAACTAGATCTAACCAAAACCCACAGCAACAGACTACGTCCTACGAGAGAGTGCAGCCTACGTCCCACGAGAGAGTGCAACCTACGTCTCACGAGAGAGTGCAGCCTACGTCCCATGAGAGAGTGCAGCCTACGTCCCACGAGAGAGTGCAGCCTACGTCTCACGAGAGAGTGCAGCCTACGTCTCACGAGAGAGTGCAGCCTACGTTCAACGACTGCATGCAACCTATAACAACAACACGTCAAATACGTGTGCAGAAGCGTGATCGTCGTGCTGGCTAGCTGGCACATGATGATAACATGTTTGGGTGTGATTGTCTGCCTGTGAGCATGCCTGAGATTCCATGTGTTTTGTAGTAAACGGCAACTTACTTTGAGTACTTGCCCGCGCGTGGAATCATCTGTTCTTTGATTTGAGAGTTGTCTGCAGTTATCCGCACGATATTGCCATCACAGTCTGAATCTGTATGGGGACAAGTAATTACATATTTCAAATGTGTACATAGTCAAGTGGGAGTTGCCGTGTTGTAGCGGCTAGATGCTCCCCTGCAAAATCGAATATCGTGGGTTCAAGTCCGAACGGGGCCGTTTTTTTAAGATGGCCTTTATCTGCCTGGTTGACCCAGCTTTAAATGAGTACCAGGTAAAGTCCTGGGAGGTAAAGGCAGCTGGCGTAATTTTGACGACAGACCTACCGAATGCCGAATGGTCTATAAAATATAGCTCGTCTTATATGCCCAAAACACCTGAATGTGTACTTTACTTTTACATAGTTAAGTGTCGGTGTTGCGGGCGCCTTTGGTAATTCCGTAGTGCTTGGTTTGATTCTTGTTGCGGGCGATTTGGCAGCAGCGTGTCTCGACATGCTTTCAGAGCAATGGCAAACTACTGAACGTAAAAATGCCTAGTGAAATCACAAACAGCAACAACAACAAAAATATAAAAATTAAAAGAAACTTGGGTTGATCCTGCAACGTCATTTAAAGGACACGTAACTAAGTAAGGCACAAATCGTCTTCTTCTTCGCGTTCTCCGGCTTTAAACTCCCATCAAAAGTTCTGGCTGTTCATTCACCTCTGAATTTTAGTTTTGTTCCATAATCTGAGATTTGCGTACACGTCTGTTTAACAGATATGAATTATTTGTATACAGATGGTTGGTACTTCTTAGGCAGATGCACTCCGAAGGATACTTACGCTCCGCACATGACATGCTTGTTGGGGAGGCAGTGGGTGTATTCTTATTTTCCCGAAGAAAAGAAAAAAAAAAGCGGGTAAAGGATAAGGAGTTCGTTGTCTTCAATTACTGCTTCTGTATTACTTATTTTATTTATCATTTTCTTTTCTTGCTTGTTTGGGAGACGAAAACGTAAATACCCGCATATCATCGAGAATGCTCACGGATAAATAATGTTGCTAAAATTGCCTGCACTGAACATTAATGGAAATAAACAATCTGAGATACGCAAACGACACCGTGCTACTAGCAGAAAGCGAGCAGGGGTTACAAGAACTAGTTGATCAAGTCAACACGCCGAGTGCAGAATATGGTTTAGACATTCATCATCATCATCATGTGCCCTGCCAGCTGGCGTAGGCGCTCATGCGTCTCCACAGATCACTGGTTGCCTGGAACAGCTTTTTTGATGATATCACCCCATGCCATCATTTTAGGCTATCCAGCATCATCTCTCTTGGTTGCCTCTACCCCCTTTTCCACTTATGTTTCCAGTTGTCACGATGTTCTCCATTGTATCTCTTCAGTGTTTGTGTCCTTATTGTTGTATAAAGAGATCTACTTTCATTAGCTTCTGTCGAGCAATCGTTGTTAATTACTCTGGCCGTCCAAGGTATTCATAACATTCGTCTCAGAAACCACATCTCTTCTGGTTCCAAATTCTTCATAATTTGTTTGCTGACATTCGAAGATTTGCTGCTAAACAGCAGAACAGGTTCTATGTAACAATTTAGCCCCCTTTTAGTTTAGACATTAATATTCGAAAAACAAAAGCTATGGTAATTAACAATGGGAAAGAGCGGCTAACAATGAACATCACAGTAAACGGAGAGCTGTTAAAACAAGTAATAAGTTGTTCCTATCTAGGACACGTAATAACAGATTATGAAAGAAGCGAAACAGAAATCAAAAAGAGAATAGGAATGGCTAAAGCTGTCTTCAATAAGATGCACAATTTACTGACAGCTTGAGAGATAAACAACACCTAGAAATAAGAATCGTCAAATGTTATAAATAATCAGTTCTTCTATAAGGTGGGGGAACGTAGATAATGAAAAAGCAACATGAAAACAGAATTGGGTCTCTGGACATGTGGGTATACATAAGAATTGGTCGTATTCATGAAAACAAAAACAGCCCAATACAGTGTTTCTGAAAAAGTTACAAATGAAAAGAAAATTACTGGGAAAAAAAAAGAGACAGTGGAAATACTTTGGCCATATTAAAAGACATAACACATTTTTGAAAAACCATACAGCAGGGAAAGGTCAAAGGCAAGAGAGCAAAAGGTAAGCGACGATACAAGTAGGAGGACAACATCAAGCGACGGACGGGGAGCAGTTTAAAAGAGTGAACAGCCAGGACAAGAGACAAAGCACTTTGGAGATCCATCGCAGCCAACCTTCACCATGGAGACGGCACGTGATTGATTGATTGCTCAGAGAACAATGCTGACCCTGGTCTGCTTACCAACAGTGGCTGCACGCATGTACACATCAGTTGTCGACGTCACAATCAAGCTGTCACTGGCACTTTGGCGGTACACCGGATTCTTTCCTCTGTTGCAAGATCTTTCCAGATAATAGCCGCTTGACATTTCTGTGAACAATTAGTTCATAAATTATGTTTTTGAATGTGCTTATTTTGCATATCCGACGTATAGGTGTGATAATTCGAATTCTGAGGGCGGATACATTTCATATATTTCTCGGTGTGCTAATTCTGAGTATCACTGCCCTAACTCTGAGTATCAATGCCCTAACTCTGAGTATTAATGCTCTAATTATGAGTATCAATGCCCTAACTCTGAGTATTAATGCTCTAATTCTGAGTATCAATGCCCTAACTCTGAGTATTAATGCTCTAATTCTGAGTATCGGTGCCCTAACTCTGAGTATTAATGCTCTAATTCTGAGTATCGGTGCTCTAATTCTGAGTATCAATGCCCTAACTGAGTATTAATGCTCTAATTCTGAGTATTAGTGCTCTATTTCTGAGTATGGGTGCTCTAATTCTGAATATGGGTGCTCTAATTCTGAGTATCGGTGCTCTAATTCTGAGTATCGGTGCTCTAATTCTGAGTATCGGTGCTCTAATTCTGAGTATCGGTACTCTAATTCTGAGTATCGGTGCTCTAATTCTGAGTATTAGTGCTCTAATTCTGAGTATGGGTGCTCTAATTTTGAGTATCGGTGCTCTAATTCTGAGTATCGGTGCTCTAATTCTGAGTATCGGTGCTCTAATTCTGAGTATGGGTGCTCTAATTCTGAGTATTGGTGCTTTAATTCTGAGTATTAGTGCTCTAATTCTGAGTATCGGTGCTCTTATTCTGAGTATTAGTGCTCTAATTCTGAGTATCGGTGCTCTAATTCTGAGTATAGGTGCTGTAATTCTGAGTATTAGTGCTCTAATTCTGAGTATAGGTGCTGTAATTCTGAGTATTAATGCTCTTATTCTGAGTATGGGTGTGCTAATTGTGTGTATGGGTATGGTCATTTAATAGTTGGGCTGTGTTTTTGCTACTGGGTGTTCTCATTCTTTTGTCTGTGTGTTCCAACTGTGATTATAGGTCTGCTCTTAACAATGGCATAACAAGGTCAGGTGGTACCCGGTGCAGAAAATGTCCTTTAACCCCCCCCCCCCCCAGCCACACACACACACACACACACACACACCCACACACGCACGCAGATTCTCTTAGTGATGACACCAGGGCGGTCTGCACCCCCCCCCCCCCCCACTCCTTTTTTTCCTACGCTAGTGGCTATGAAGATGGGTCTCAATAATGATAAATATGGGTGCCTTGTTTATGTGACACAGTGAATTCAGTGTGTTCCTGTGTGCAGCAGTTGTGTCTGTGTGTGCATGCCCATTCCGTTCCTGTGTTTAACTATTCCGTAATTTAGATCAGTTTTTAGTTTTCTCTGTTTAAAATATTTGCTCTCCCACCCAACCGAACGCAAACTGTTTTTTTTTTTTTAAAACTAATTAGTAAACTTTTCGTATGTCACGGATGGGTTTACATTTATCGACTGATGATGGTGGGATTTACTTTTAAAATATTCAGACGCCTTTTTGATGTGTCTTATCCAACTCCTTATTTATTTATCTTTCTACACTTACCCATGTAAAATGTTCGTTCTCCTGACAGACTGGTTTCACTTGCTTTCAGTTCCTCATAAGAACTGGTGGAGTTCATTTTTTTCACTGTGTACTCTTTTCAAATATTATCAGCTTTACTCATTTATCTACTATGCTTTTGAAAGTTTTAATCTTTCGTCTTGTATAGCCTAATCTTTAACGTTATAACACGTTCATAAATGTACTGTTTCCCCATAGTTACAATTTGGAACAAACCAGCATACCGCTAACTTGAATGACATCAGTATCGCAGTCAGCTTCCTGTTTATCTGTTCCCATGACATCCAGTCGCAGATGCATTGTTGTGTCTGGGTTCCATAACCTTACAGGACACGGCGTGTCCCTAAATTAAACAAAACAAAGTTTCAGTGAAGCAACAAATTAACATTGCCAAAACTACTATAATTGTTACATGGTTAGATAATATATCAATGACCTCATTATACAGTTAGTTGACAAGACATTCTGGTACCGAACCATATTGACATGTGTGTTCTTGTGCAACGGAACATGAATGGTTTAAGTATTGAGATAGATTTGTCGGAACAAAATGCCAAGGGCAGTGTTGCGTGGAGGGGAGAAATCAGGAAGGGAATGGAAATAAAGTGTTTAAAAAAATGATTGCAGATGAACTGAGAGCCGAGCGTTTCAGACTAAATATGTGTGATAGCAGCTCTTGTCTTGAAATCACATGCTCTAATTGTGGTAGATTGTTCTTAACATGGGCTGGCCCTACGTACTCTCTGTGGTTCCCATGCACAATTTAACACTATCGTATGGGGAGACGGAAAGGGGCCAACATACAATTAAGTCGAGCCTCTTGACACAGGAGCTCCACAGAATAAAACATAGGTAAAACTGTCACTTAACCCAGTCCCTGTGCACACTGGACTTTCACCATTCGCGCACACCTCCACGCGCTTAGACTGACTGAAACCCTTAGTCAAGTACCCGCCAAAAGCGGTCAGTCACACTTGGATCCCATATTCTTTTAGCTTCAACTAGTTCGCCTTTTCAACACTTAACCCCAAGCTGTGTGAAACGAAAGTGTTGTGTGCGAAATCACTGTGGGGTATAACGAGTTAATTTCAACTTCGTCTTCTTCGGGTTCGCCAGCTGTAAACTCTAGCGGAAAGTTCTGGTTGTTTATCCACTGCTGGACTTCAGTCCGGTTCTAGAACCTGAGCGTTGCGTGTGCATCCGTTTTACAGATCTGACTCATTTGTATGCAGACTGCTGGTTCCTTGCCTCTTAGGCAGATGCACTCCGACTTCGAAGGAAGCTCCCAATTAATCGACTCTTACGACATGCTTTTGGGTAGTTAGTGGGTCTATTCTTGTTTTCCATATAAAAGGGCCCCGGAACCCACACAGGGGTACGAGTTAATGAAGCCAGGACTTTGTGTACAGGTTGGGAATGTTAACACTTGGGGTTACTAGAGGAGAGTGGAACATGAGCCACTGGGGAAAACATGAGTCGCTTGATATTCACGGAGGACTGCAAACTACCCGAGTTGTGTGGGGAATATGAGATCCAAGTGTGACTGATCGCTTTTGGCAGGTACTTGAGTAAGGGTTTCATTCAGTCTAAGGTGGAGGTGTGCGCGAATGGTGAAAGTCCAGTGTGCACAGGGACTGGGTTATGTGACAGTTTTACCTATGTTTTATTCTGTGGAGCTCCTGTGAACTGTCCGGATGACAGTGGTGGATCATGGGTTGGACTTCTGAATTATGTTAGTGTGGTTTTCTAGAGTGGACTTGTATCGGCCTTGTGTGTGGGCTCGACACGGTTGCTGCTATGTGCACGCTGGTTGACGGTGTTCTTACGTGCACAGAAGGTACTGGGGAACTCTGTGTGTTAACCAACGTTAAATTGTAATGACGAAGTCTCGAAGGCTGATTAACGGGATGCTGTTGATACTACAATGAGTAGTTTGGGTAGCAGACGGGAGGTCCGGAGTCGTTCACCAAGTTGTGCAACTACCTTGAGTTCTCGGGGAGCGGGGTCTTTATAGGAGGAACCGTCAGAGTATTGTCACTGCACATCACATCGGTGTATCTGTTCGACTGGGCGTGAGTCGCATGTAGCAGGCGCCTGGTACATAGTTGGTTGGGGTGTTTTGTCCATGACAGTAGTAGATTTGACAGTGTGTCATTGATCACCTTCGTTGATATGTTGTCGTCCATATAAATAATACTTGTCGCACTACAAGATCATACTTGGCGTAGTGTAGTATAGTACAGTACTCGTAGACAATGTTAATGGTTACGATAGGACATGTTGGCTTGTTACGTGTACCTGGCTTATAGTGGTCCTATTGCTTGGATTGGCCGTCCTTCCCTCCAGTTATAATCGCCATCAACCTGTGCCGTGCCAAGGAAAGTGGGTGTCATATGTGCCGTGCCAAGGAAAGTGGGTGGCATATCTGCCGTGCCAAGGAAAGTGGGTTGCTTGGTTTGTGAACAGAGGAAGTCCTGAGTGTGGGTGTGGAGGACTGACTACAGGTTTTTTTGTACCGGGTTTGTGGTGGCCCAGTTTACGTGTGCTGTATGGCTGTACAGTTTATGTGGTTTCTGGTATTTGCCCCTATTTTGTTTTCCTCCTTGAGATTTTGGTCCTACAAAGCGCAAATCTGGAGGGGTAAAACGTAAGTTTAACAAAAATGTAAGTATAAGTGTGAGTATGTATATCCTCGCATTTCTGTGTGCACGTTCAACTTTTAATATGATTATATTGTTTTCTTAAATTAAAATCCTGACAGACACACACACGCGAGCGCACGCACACAGACACACACTGTCACCAAGCAAAGTACCAGGTGTGATGGCTATTATTATGTCTATCATTCGATGTCTCACGAGTGATTGTATTTCTGACCATTAGCGACGGGGTAGACCAGAAATCTAATAGCACAGACTTTTGTCTGAATGTTTGGTCTGTAAAGGAAATAAACTTGTGATGATGTAAGTATTGTCTGCTTGTAGACAGCACAAAGTAGCAAAAGACTGCCCAAGCAACAAGCTCAAACAATAAAAACAGCACAAAGTAGCAAAAGACTGCCCAAGCAACAAGCTCAAACAATAAAAACAGCACAAAGTAGCAAAAGACTGCCCAAGCAACAAGCTCAAACAATAAAAACAGCACAAAGTAGCAAAAGACTGCCCAAGCAACAAGCTCAAACAATAAAAACAGCACAAAGTAGCAAAAGACTGCCCAAGCAAAAAGCTCAACCAATAAAAACAGCACAAAGTAGCAAAAGACTGCCCAAGCAAAAAGCTCAACCAATAAAAACAGCACAAAGTAGCAAAAGACTGCCCAAGCAAAAAGCTCAACCAATAAAAACAGCACAAAAACTATGCCACCATTTTTGCGGAGAAACCAGCTCGCCAAACGGAGGAAGCACGGACACCACCAGACCTGACATCAGAAACCAGACACCAGGAGACCCCACCCATACCCGTTCCAGGTCCTTTTCAGGGCTAACGGATTCCCCTGCCAAAAACCAGGAAAAATAGCCTTATCAAAAACTGCTTATCAGACCACGCCGGACATGTTACGCAAACAAACAAACTCGGGCGAAACTGATCGCCACGAATAAACGAAATTCATTTAAGATAGCAAAGGAACAGTCGTCAAGATAGCAGTCCCTCGGGCGGCTCAAAGAGGGCTAAGCTTTGAATTTTTGTTTACCACACTCGGATCGAATAAAATTACCTGCTTGGATCGTTGAAATGTACTTGCCTGGAATTATAAGCCAGTGGTAGAGCCAGCATGACTGGGCCGTCTCGAACTTCAACAGTTGGCATATCTGAGACCGTACATTCGTCTGAAAAATGTGACCAGATTTTTCAACATTAACAGTGTAGTATTTAGTTTGTAAAAACATGGAGGATAAAAGTCAATATTTAGATATCTTGGCTAATTAATTTGGTCTACTTTATAAATATACACTCAAGTTTTAATGTTTTTCCTTTTTTTTTCCCTGATCATACGTGTGTGTAAGAAAACGAACAGCCAAACAAACTGGCTGATTTTTCGCCATTTAGTGGTGAACTGGTGCATGACAAGCTAAAGGATCAAGTCGGCCTCAAGACCTAAAGGAAAAGTAAGCGGAAATAGAATCAGACTGCTACTAGTAACATCAGCACTGAAATTCTGGCTGCTGAAGATGGGTCCGGGGCACTTTTGGAAATTTCTTTGGTTTTGGTTGGTAACATAGCCAGGCCTTTCAAAGGACTACACACACCACTGTTTTAGAGCACAGGACTGCATACATCACTGTTTTAGAGCACAGGACTGCATACATCACTGTTTTAGAGCACAGGACTGTATACATCACTGTTTTAGAGCACAGGACTGTATACATCACTGTTTTAGAGCACAGGACTGTATACATCACTGTTTTAGAGCACAGGACTGTATACATCACTGTTTTAGAGCACAGGACTGTATACATCACTGTTTTAGAGCACAGGACTGTATACATCACTGTTTTAGAGCACAGGACTGTATACATCACTGTTTTAGAGCACAGGACTGCATACATCACTGTTTTAGAGCACAGGACTGTATACATCACTGTTTTAGAGCACAGGACTGCATACATCACTGTTTTAGAGCACAGGACTGTATACACCATTTTCTGGAGTACAGGAACTATTATACCTAATTATTACATAAAATAAACTGTATTACAATGTCCACAAAAGTCTAGTTACGTTTGGAATATCTTATCCCCAAAAAAAAATTATATTTCAAAATATCTCTCTTGAATTGTTTTGCTTGTATTGCAAACATGAATTATGTTTCTGTCATCGCCATTCCTAAATGATTTTGCTTTGATCTACATGATCATTTAATTAGGGAAGAAAATAACAGCGATTAGTGCCTGTATCCTGTCAAGCATGCCGTAAGTGGTGACTTAGGACTATGAGGCTCGTTCCCTCGTCACTTAGAAAACGTTAGCTGCAAAACTCAGTTACTCGTGGGCTCTGCCATGAATTAGTGCAGGGTTGGTGCTTCACTGGGAGATGACAGGTAAAAGCATAAAAAGGGAGTAACTAAGTATACACTCAGCCAGCTGCCCAAGTCATTTGATTCACGCTGCTTTTCCCTGAAGTTAGAAACAACACACACACACAAAGGATGGCCAAATGATTCACTTATTTCAGTAAAATGACAACTTACACAACTGCGGCTGGGCTGAGAACTTCAGGAGGAGACCATCAGGTTTCTGTACCAGCGATGTTTCTGAAAGTTATCACCACTTTGTTTGACTTCAGGTACATCTGAGAAAACGGCTTCTCCATTGAGCAATATGTGTATGAAACATGGCTACTGGTGTCGCCTCCTGTGAAATATCCAATAAGATGTGTATCAAACACCGCTGCTGTTATGTTATCAAACATTATGTGATCGTATGCCTTCTAACGTTGCTCTTTCTATGTCAGTGAGGTCTGTAACCTGGCTGAAGTTATCAAGGATACAGATCAGGTCAACACAGCTCCAACTTCAAAGCTTCATGGCAAACGGGTCACCCCATGTTTCCCCGTTTCTGTGCCAAAGAAAAACACACAGAATGTGCATCGCTGTCCCTTTGGAAACAAGCTGACATTCTTAGCCTGTCCTACCCTGAACGTCGTACACTGACTACCATGCTCTGGCTGTCCTTGTCCTGTCCTGACTGTCTCATCTTGGATGTCCTGTCTTGACTGTCCTGACCTTAATGACTTGTCCTGACTGTCCTAACCTTAATGACCTGTACAGACTGTCCTAACCTTAATGACCTGTACAGACTGTCCTAACCTTAATGACATGTCCTGACTGTTCTAACCTTAATGATATGTCCTGACTGTTCTAACCTTGGTGACTTGTCTTGACTGTCCTAACTTTAATTACCTGTCCTGACTGTCCTAACCTTAATGACCTGTCCTGGATATCTTGCCCTCCATGGCTTGTCCTAATTGATCTGTCCACATTGGCTTGACTTGACTATCCTGTCTAGACGTGTCACATCCTGACTATCCTACTTGAAACGTCCTACCCTGACAATTTAGAGATTGTGATTTGAGGTATTAATGCAGCCGCATATGACCGACATACAGGGCTCGAGTCAACTCCATGTGCATTGGTAGCAGATAGCTTTGCTTAGATGTCGAAACGACACGAGTGTTCAACATTTAGTTATAAACTTCTGAACGTAAAATTCTTCTTCTTCTTCACTTCCTCTATTACTGCTTCGGGTGTCGAGGGAAATGTAGGATTCTCTTTCTTCCTCTTCTAGACGCCTCGACCATAGACACATTGTGCTGTTGTAGAGGTTCCCTGATGTTATATTTCCATCCTGTTCTTGGTTTACCAGGCTCTTCGCCGGTTTTCCTCTTTTGGTCTCTTGTATGATTTGGCGTCACGAGGTGTTCTCTCTAAATGGGCATTTGATTTGCTATCTTTGTAAGTAATTTAGAATTCGTCTTTGCTGAAGTTTTCTCGTGTGGCCTAATTCCTGATTTGATCTCTTCCGGTCACTTCTGCAGTCCTTCTCATGCATTTCATTCCCATGGCTTCTAATTCTCCTTCCTAGTTTCTTGTGAGTGACAAACTTTACTAAAAAGAAAGAAAAATGTAGCATTACCCACCATCATAGATCTGATAAAAGCCATCTGTACAAGAAATGTTTGACGGGCTGACCAATTGGATGACTAATTTCGTTGAATTGTCATTGCTCTGAATCTGCCATTCACAACTAAGAAACATAAGAAGGAAAACACAACAGTTATATATGTAATGTTGGCTTACATCTACTACAGCACAATTGTCAAAAATGAACATTTTCCAATGTTTTATTGCAAAGCAAATTCTACAGTATGTTATCTGCGCCGTGTTCACTTGTGTGTAAACCAGTGGCGTTGGAACCTAGGGGCCACCTCCTCCCTTCTAAAAATGATTGTACGGGGGATAACACCCCCCCCCCCCAACCCCACCACACATGTATAAAAGTTTTCTTTTTCAGTATTTATTCAATACAATATCGTAGCAGTTGCCATATGTGTGTTTGTGTATGTATGTATGTGTGTGTGTGTGTGTGTATATATATATATATATATATATATGTATATATGTGTGTGTGTGTGTGTTTGTGTGAGAGAGAGAGAGAGGGGGTGAGAGAGAGAAGGAGAGGGGGGGGGGGGGGGGGGGGGGAATTGCTCGATTCATTATAGCTTAGGTCCTCTGATCCCTCTTTCTTCCCGCCCACCCCTAGATATTTTTTTAAGGATGAAAAAAGTCTCAACCACCTCTATCCCACCTCTTCCTTTTTTTCCCAACCAATTTTTTTTTGAGTCGGCGCCACTGATGTAAACAAAATTACATCTTCTTTTCTAACCGTTCATGTTGTGTGACGTGGGTCACGTGCCTGCCTCGAGCACTACTGTCAAATGGCATTTATATAGAACAGTCATCCATGGATCTCTCAATGCAACTTAAGTAGAATTTACCAGTTTTATCAGAAATCAACAAAAATTAAAACTAATATTAAACTGAAAATATTCAGCTCTAATGTCAAATCAGTATTGTTGCATGGAGTTGAAACATAGAGAACAACTAAAATAGACACTAATAGACTACAAACATTCATTAACTAAGGGCCTGCGCAAGATATGGGGACTTAAATGGTATGGTAGAATCACTAATATAGATCTTTGAGAGAGAACAGAGCAAATTCTAGTGTGTCAAGAGGTGAAGAAAAGACGCGGGCGTTGGGTAGGACGTACTGAGAAAATCTGGGAACAATATAACCAGAATGTCTTTGCACTGGAACTCACAGGGGCACAGAAATAAAGGCAGACCACCCAACCCCCACCACTCTCCACCCCACACACACACATAAAAACAAGCGGAGAAGGAAACTATAGCGTGAAGTTAATCAAAAAGATGGGGAGGACATGAAGGAAGCTGTATGCAATAGCAGAGGATGGGTGACTTGTGGGAGTTGATTTAGGGCCTATGCTCCATTGGGGGATGAAGGGCAGAAGAAGAAATAAAATGATGAAACAAGATGATCAAGAAGTTTCACTGCGTTGGAGAATTGAAATAGTTGATGATGCTGACGATGATGAAGGTGGGGGTAGTTACGATGTTAATGATACTGGCGATAATACAGACGTGTATTTCATACGTCTAAAAGTGTTACCTTGCAACAGAAGACTTTCCTTGAAACCTTTCATAGACAGCCGCTTGTCCTACATACAGTTTACCTGGATCTCCTTGCACACATTCAGATTTTGCTGGAAAAAAAAAACACACATGGAAATATTCGTATTTAATATTGTTATTGTTGTTGCCTGTTTAGCTTCTGTGACTCTAAGAAGAGTGGGTTTCAAAGTCAGAGGTGTGTAGAGATTTTCCTCTGTTTAGTTTCTAGTACTGACCTTATGGAGTCTGTGTTATGTAGCTCTGTTCCATACCCTAACTCATAAATCAGCAAGACATGCAAGTCAAGTATTGAAGCTTTACACCGGCATCATCCTCATCATCGTTATCATCATCATCATCAGCATCCTCGTTATCATCATCATCATGTGCCGTGTCGTTAAGCGTAGGCTGTCATGTGTCACCACCTCACATGATCACCAAAAGCACAGTTTAGTTCAATGTTTTTGTCTCGTCCCATCTTTCTGTCCAGGCCATCCAAGTATTTATCTCTTTGCCATTCTCTTGTTATCTTTCCATAAATTTTGCCAGTTGCTGCCAAGTTCTTCGGTTCACTCATTCTCATATGTCCAAAAACTATGGACTTTCTTCTAAGAATTCTAATAATTTTACGACTGTCATCAGTCTCAAAGTGGACTGTTTCGTCTCTTTTTCCATCCTCCCATGATGTTCGTTACATTTTTTTCAGAAAGCACATCTATGCCACGAGCGAGTGTTTTTCAGCTCGTCTGCTAATTGTTTCACATGCATAAAACAACATAGTTTCTACATAACACTTTACAACTTTGTCTCATTGCAAGTAGCATTCACAAATGAAGAGACATAAAAAGTAGTCATGTCATGATTCAGTACTTATTCTTCTTCTTTGTTCATCGGCTGTAAGCTCCAGCAAGAAAGTCCTGGTTGTTCTTCTATTTGAACTTTGGCTTTGTGCCAGGGCCTGAGTTTTGCGTGTACATCCGTTTTACTGGCTTATCTATGTGCAGTCGCTTGTTCCTTGCCGCTAGGGCACATGCACTCCGACTTAGAAGGAAGTCTCAAATGAGTCGTCTTCTACGGCATGCTTGTTGGGGATGCTTTGTGTCTATTCTTGTTTTCCCCACAATGGGACCCAAGACCCACACGGAAAATGATTCAGTAAAGCACTGTTTGAGTGACTGCCATAAAGCCTGTGCTACCACGGATTGTGGGGATTTTATTGTCAACACGCGAGAGAAGCTCCTGCAATGAAACATCTGTCCCATAAAGCTACAGGTAGAGCTAGGAGTCACTGGGTGATAAGAGGACGGTCTTGAATTGCGCAAACTGAACATGCTTGGAAAAGTGCAGCTCATAGAAAAGAAAAGGGAGGGGAGCCACAAAGAAAAAAAACAGCTAACTTCAATGGCGAAACAAACTAATTATAAATGATACAAACCAATTTGTTGAACAAAATATTACCAGCTGAGTCAAAGTAACATAAACTACGAACATGTGAGCCATCTGCAATGTGTTTACTTAACTATCATACAACTTAGAAGGAATAATCACAGCTAGGAACCGGTTTGAGGAATCGTGGCTTTTGAAATAAGGCCACCATTTGGTTATGATGCTATTGGTTCTTACCAGTTCTAACCAGAGAGTAACTGATCACAAATCCCCGAGATGTGAACTTGTCATCGCTGTGAAACCTCACTGTTACCTGCCAGGGAGCTCTCAACAACTGCTTTTCCCTACCGCACCATTTAGCCAAAAGTCGTCCACGTGTACCTGCTCCTGAAATAGAAATTGAATGTTCATTGAATATTCAGGTGCCGTATTAATATCCTACACTAGATGACGTCACAGGACAGTCCAACATTTTAGAGGGTGGTAAGACGGAATTTCCCAGCTTTCTGGTGCTTTTAACGACTTCAAAACATCTAGAACTGGCCCTAACCCAAACCCACCTACGTCCCACTAGAGAGTGCAGCCTAGATCCCACGACTGCAGCCTAGGTCTCACGACTGCATGCAACCTATCTACCACCCCCTGAAATATTAGACTGTCCCGTGACATGTGGATTTTCCCTGTTTGGGGTAAGTTAACAATAAAGGTAAGT